AGAGTCGTTTTCGTCGCTCTGTCTCTCTCGCACTCATGGGGCGTCTCGTATGGGTGCGAGAGAGACAGAGCGACGAAAGCGACTCTCGGAATCAGTCTGCAGCAGGCTGATTCCGGGGGACAGGCCCCACCGGTCGATCTCTCTCACACATATACGAGACGTGGAGAGAGAGAGAGAGAGAGAGAGAGAGAGAGAGAGAGAGAGAGAGAGACTGCAGGGCCGCCCTGCACGACGGCTGTCTCTCGGCCTACATCGCAGTGCCCGGCCTTGCGGGTGGCTTACAACAGCCATGTGCCCCCAGTCTATTTCCGTCCATGCCGGAAGCTTTCTGTTTACTCTCTTCATTAAGAGGAACGGTTTGTCCTCTTTGTATAAGGGTGGGTTTTCGACGAATTGCGTATAACGATTGTTATAGGGGGGGGGTATTGTGTGCGTGAGAGTGCGTGGGAGAGGAGTGGAAGGGGGAGGATGGAGGGGAAGAGGAGGGGTGGAAATCGAGGGGGAGGGAAGAAGATCCACCAGCTTCGCTAAGTACAGTGTGGCAGATCAAGATCCCGCGCGCCACGGCATGGGCACGACGCCGGATTACCAGGAAACATCGTCTGAGGATGACGACGCTGAGCTCAGACTCGGGCATCCAATCCGGCCCAATCGCATTTCATCGGCACTGTACACACATCAGGGGGGCCGGAATAGCGACCCGCGGCCGAGTTCGGCGAGAAAGAGAGGTAGTCACTCGCGAGAAGTGCGACTCTCTGTCACATCTGCACTCTATATGTCTTACGATGAAAGGCTGCACCGACATATTATGGTGGAGATTTTCTCCATAATACCAAAGAAATTTGACAAAATATAATCTGTACGATGCAACGAATTTTGAACTGTAAGTTACGAAGTCAGCTGCACCACCATAATAGTATGGAGAATCTTCACCATAAGACTTTTAGAGAGTGCTTTAGACGCCCGGGTCCTTGGTGTACATTTCGAGACAGCAACTCACACTGAAAATCTATCGGCGTGACTTCGTGCCGCTGTAGGGGCGTGAATGAAGTGTCACGCCATTCAACGACATGACAGAAAAGTCACGCCAAAAATCGGCGTGACTCAAAAATTCACGTCAATTTTTGGCGTGAATTTCTTGTCATGCCGCTTTTTGGCATGACATTTCTCATAAAAAGCGTCGTCATTCACGCCAAATGAGGGCGTGACTCACATGTCACGCCGTTTTTCGGCGTGAATTTTGTGTCACGCCAATAAGTGGCGTGACTGTCACGCCATAATTTGGCTATGTGTCCGACCATTGCGTTTTCAGTGCATCAAAATCAGAGAAAATTTCAGGTTAGTCCGAAATTTAAGTCTGTCGATATTTATTTATTTTTTGACTCACAGCAAATCAAGAGATGAAATTTGTCTAGGTAACCTCTTGATGCTGATTCATTTGTTCCTATGTTCACCAGCATTGCTAACGGATCCCAATTTAAATCCTAAATGGCCACACTCTGAAAACCTTTCAAGGCACAGCAAATATAAAATAGCTTGTTAGAACGGAGTATTTTGAGTATATATAAGCTTAGAAAGATTCTTTGTTTAGAAAACTAAGTAATTTGTACCTCTTAATATGCTGGAAATATTTTGCAAGGTTTAAAGCGCACATTTCGGCTGGGCACATGACAGTGTACTGCGTTTCTTCCAAGATGCGTTCAGAACAGTACGTCTAAAGGTCAAAGGGCCTCTCAAGGATTACGCAACAACGATCCTCCCCCCTCCCCGTGCTTGTGGCGTGGTGACGTCACACCGCGTTGTTATCCGATACGGCGGGGCGCCGTGCGACGCTGCCTGGCGGCACACTGGATAAACAGAGCGTGAATGTAAAGCGGCCCACTTCCTCCCGCACACCGCAAGCTCTTTGCAGACTGATACCGGGGGTCGCTCCGTCTCTCTCGCTCTCATGGGGCGTCCCGCATAGGTGCGAGAGAGACAGAGCGACGAAAACGACCCTCGGATTCAGGCTGCTATGGGCAAACAATTGGCCCTCCGCGTCGAGCGAGAAACAGGAAACTTGACTCCGGCGAGTGCGCGGACAAGCGCCCCTTGGTTGCTCATTTCAACTTCCAGGCCGCGTGACTGGCATGTATCTCAGCTGGGAGTATACTGATAGGAAAAAACACAGAAATTACACGAAGCTTATCTGGTCGATTTTTTACCTGGGCCGTCCATACCTTGCCAACCACGGAGGTTCCGTATACACGTTTTTCGTACCAGTTTACAAGAGATCCTTGGACCTCCTCAAGCCACTCTGAAAACCTTTCAAACTATTTGAGCCTTTTCGAAATAAAATAGCCTCGTAAACTGAAAATCAATAGTGATCTCACTCACTGAGGGGTGAGACTTGACTTGTCTCCCCGAAAAAGGGTGACACTAAATTGTATCACCGAATAAAGGTCGTATACGACCTTTGTTCGGTGATACATTTTGTATCGCCGAAAATTGGAGAGATGTCTCACCATTTGAATTAAATTGTATTATCAAAGTATAATGAGCATATGTAAGCTTCCAAAGAAAATAGTTTTACGAACTACTGTACGTCATCGTACAACAAATTAAATTAGTTTGTACTACGTATGCCCAAAATACTTCGCAGGGTTTCATTTCATTTTTTTTTCAGCGGCGCGTACATGCTGCGCTCTCACAGCCTTTGGAATCGCCGTATAGTGTAGCGAAATAATGTAATTAGCAGGGTGGCCTGTACCCGAGGTGGGCAGCCTGCCAGCCACCGACTGGAAATGATAGCGCTGCGGGCCGCGGCATGCGTGCCGTCCCACTGCAACAACAATAACAGTGCGGGGGCCAATGGGAAGCATGGCTGTCCTCTGTGCAAGGGTCTGCCCGCAAGCTGTAAAACAACCACGGCATTTTAGTCGCAGTATCAAGCGGCATGACATTTCCGAGCATTCTGACAATTCCGAGAATTGGGTAGCCCGAACAGGTTTAACCGAAACATTGATTTACACTGCAGATGAAACAGTCCAGTCCTCTTACAGGCAAGGTTAACTCAATCACCGGGGAAGGTTTCCTCACCCAAACTAGAGTTATAAGTGGTGTTTCAGCTCAGCTACATCTTATGCCACATAGAAGTTATTTTAGACAACAAAGAATTTAAGCCTATCCTAATTGTCGTGATTTTGAACTCTTTCATTCTCGTCGTGTAGTGAAACCATTCGCCTCCTTCCATTCAATGAAGTGTTGCCCCAACATTTCTCAGCGTTCAGCCGCACTTAAACCAACTCGCCTTTGACTTCGTATTCGTGAACACGATAGAGCATTCTAGTCGTCGCCGATCGAAGAACATAAAGAAGAACAAAACCGGAAGCCGGGAAGAAACGGAGTAGGTATCAAGCCCGGTTTCAACGAGAAATGTCGACAAATATTTTTATTTCCTGAGTCAAAAAGTGTTTGAAACAAACGAAAGTGCTTTTGAAAGAGATTCGACACAGAAAACTCAGAAACTAGCCCACTCAGAGACGTTTGGGAGGTTATGTTGCCGGGGCCAGTTCCGGCTTTGTTCTTCTTCTTGTTCTTCGATCGGTGACGACTAGAATACTCTATTGTCGCAGCCTGAGAGTGTCTGCCAACGACCTTCTAAGGGTGAGCGCGCAGTAGGAGAACAATACCAGCTTGAGCGCATTCTCATCCAATAACTCCCGCGTACACCATAAATTCACGTAAGTTCTTCTTGCACACATTGTCTTGGTACAGAAGGAGGAACTGAAATAGGCAAGTACACTTCTGAACGAGTGTACTTGTCAAACACACCCTGTATCCTTTGTGTACTCAAATATACTCCTTTAGAAGTGCACTTGCTCAAGGACTGATTCGGAACGTTCTTCAGCTTTCATCATCCGCCTCAGCTGCTTCAGGGGAAGAGTTATTAGAGCGCACGTTGTCAGATCAGAGCAAGAAGGTACATCGGTTCAGTCCTGACTGCTCAGGTTAGTAGTTGGTATCGTTCTCTGTAGAACAAGTTCTTTCGCACGTCATCCGTTGAGATATTTCATCTGACCGACGTATTCAACATACGTTCAAGGCAGTCTACGTCTTGGCGAAGCAGAGACACTTCGTCAGTCTTCAAATCGTATAATCTAAGGCAGGTCCCGTATACCTACTCTGAACCTCATCTTGTCGTATCCCAAACGGTATTTCGGCGCGAGCTTAGAAGTTGTCTGTAAGGTAAAGTTCACTTTACACATTGGCTTGAGTCAGCTGTTAAGCGTCACTTCAGTTTGTGGGGAGGCTTCACATCAGGCTACGTCCTGCGTAACAGGGTTCGTACTCGTTAATTTGCACTGAGAGCAATTTCTTGAAACTTTGTTTCTTGACTTCCAGTCCATGAATTCGATAAAAACATTACTTGTTTCAACAGCAGCGTGTTGTAACATTGGCTGTACTCTGTGGTGGTTATCAAACGAACTTCATGTTTCAGCGTCTCTTATCTTAAGTCATTTTCAGCGGGACGTCAAATCTTAATGTGAGAGACTACTTTTCATGGCCCGTGGCCTTTCCCGCCCACTTTTCTTAACTAGTGAAAGAGACGCGTCGCAACATTCTTCTGTTGAAGAGATTCCTTGCTTGAATCAGTTAAAGTCCTGCGTAACAGGCTAATCTGATTAGCTTGAGTAGTTCCAATAGGATACTTTCGTCGATCCTGAACCGGAAGCAAGCAGACGCCATATTGGCCGGAAACTAACCTCTCTTCGGATCTGAAACTAGAGCCGAGCTGTACAAATATTGCTCGCGTAACACACATGCACTGCAAATAAGTATCAAACGACTGTTAATGTTCAAGTGTGGCCTATACGTTTGACTATTGTCCCTTTCCCATGTCAAGTTTTGATCTACTTCCGCCAACATTGCGTCTGTGTGCTTCTGGTTCAGGATCTACGAAAGTACCCTATTGATCAAGGTCTCTAAGGTCACGTCGGTAAGGATCCAGACCGGAAGTAGTGGATGTTATCGGGAAATCAAGAAGACATTTACTTGTGCATGCCAGCCATGGTCGTCTAGCGACATTTGTAATGCGTCCTGTGAGAACTGTAGTCGTTGCCGTCCGATTAACAACCAAGGAGATCAAAACCGGAAGCCGGATGCAAAGTGAGTGGGTAGCAAGCCTGGTTCAAGTGGGACACGCCGTCACTTTGTGTTTCTTTTCGTTATTGGAAAGTATTCGTTACAGGTTACTTTGATCTTAATGGAGTGCCGCTTTGAAAAACATGCATCTTGACGGTTTTCTTAAAGTTCAGTTAAAGATGCTGTATCCTTTATTTTGACAAGGTTTGTTCTCTCGCCGAGCGACTAGAACGCTCCATGCTCCCTGCTTCTGCCGTTAACATCCTCACTTCGGGTTTCGACCGTCTCCGACGCAATACACTTGATAAGTTAATATAACGAATCCCTGGACCGGAAGTCAAAGAACGAAAGTACGAACCAAAACCGCTACTGCGCAGACGTCCCCCCTCCATTCTGAGGCAGCGTCTGCGCTGAAGCGGTTTCGGTTCTTACTTTTGTTCTTTGACTTCCGGTCCAGGGATGCGTTCAAATGCCCTGGCCCCAGTCACACCTTGCACTGTTCTGCTTCCAGTTCGATCACCCGAGGCTCGAGACGCGGACTTCGCCATGTCCGGACGAGGCAGGCGGCGCGCGGCGAGCAGCAAGTCAAACCAGCCCTCCGGCAGCAAGGCCAAGCAGCAGGGGTCGACGTCGTAAGTATCGGCCCTTCATTGTAAGAACTCGCGATCGCTTCACTGGCACTACACTGGTGAAACTAAAGCGTAACTCCATGCTTGAGTCAAGCATAGTTACGCCGCTTGAAGACGTTACGCTTGAAATCAATCATTGACTAGGAATTCCTCCATGCATTTGGATAGGGGGAATCTTGGCGGATGAGCCCGTTACGCTTGATTTCAAGCGTAGTGGGTTATCACAGACGCACTGCCCAGGTCACACTGGTCAATGCCTCTGCGATGCGCACGCACCTCTGCAGCGCTCAGCGCGCTGGCTGCCGTGCTATCTGACGCGCGTGCCTATGCAGAAAACATAGGCCGCGTCGCGCCGTGTTAAATGCCAGCTAACTAACACGACTGGCAGATAGGTTGCCTAGTAATCAGGCGTTAGCCAGCAGTGCTGGAGTAATCTGATTGTCACCGGCCTGTGGCTGATGCGTTCACCTTAGATGTTAGGGATTCAGCACGTGCAGCCCCGACTCGGGAGAAGCTCCAGTCAGTATTCTACCAACCACCGTAGCGGAAACACCTGAGCCCTGTCCGCCGAATACCCCGTCCGCGAAAGTGTCCGCGTGTGCCCGAGTACTCAACCAACCCGTGTGTCGTTACTTCACCCCTTCACGAACCCGTAGAACACGCTGCGGCCAGACGGTTACGCGAGTGATCAGTTCAGTGAAACCTAGTGACTGAGGACCAAGTGCATAGGATTCGTCGACCCGGTTTGACCCAGCGGCGAGCTGGATTAGGCAGCCTCACACAGCAGACCCCACTTCACCTCCGCAACCCCCGGCCAACGTGTGATAGGGTAATACTACGCTTTAGTTTATTTCCCGTGTACGGCGTAACATAACGCCTGACGTGAAGCCCTCACTCTACCGGCGTACCGGAGCAAACTTAGTTCTACGCTTGAACGTAGCGCAGAACTACGCTTTAGTTATTGCAGTCCCTTCGTAGTACGGACAAGAGTTTCTGTTGAAATCCTTCGTATCCTGACCATAGTGTTCGCAAGTAACCTGAGTCCCGACTTCAGTAAGTTACTCATCAAATGGAATGCACAATTTTGTTGAAGGTGCCAAAGTTTTTTTGTGCCGATGAATTTTTTGTACTTTTTTTCTTCGGAAAACTGCACAATAAATGTGAAGCAGCGGGAGCCACTTATTTCCGAAGGTGGCGTAACGTCATGTCATATCGATCGATGACTTTTTGTTTCATGGGCACATTTGTTTTAAATAACTCCAACAACTCACCAGCACGTAATTCTGCCAAATCTTGTGAGGTGGAGGGAGACCCTATAAGCAGAAAGTGTGCACTTAAGGTGCATCTCGAGGTGCATATGTGTAGTAAAGTCGACACCTACGTATGTATATTTGACAGGTATGCACACTAAACTTCTTACGGATACATCCTATCTGTATTACGGACATTTTTGTGCAATTGCAATTACGGATAGATTTTGCTTGTAATACGGATGATTTTATCCGTAATACAAAGGTTTTCGTGTCCGTTACATACAGACGAAAATATCCGTATGGTACGGACGTAAAACTCTTTGTAATACGGATGATTTCATCCGTATTACAAGCAAAATCTATCCGTTATTGCAATTGCACAAAAATGTCCGTAATACAGATAGGATGTATCCGTAAGAAGTTTAGTGTGTGCATGCTGAATGCACACTTCTGTTCGTGGAGTGCTAAAATGTTCAGAATGCGGTTGCTAAAAATTTATTTATGTGTGTGGTGCTTCAGCGTCCAGGCCACCGTCATGGCGTCGGAGCTGCAGCTTGCGGAGAGACGCGTCGAATCGACGGAGACGACACTGGAAGCAGCGCGCGTCAGGCAGGAGGGAGTCGAGGTGGCCCTGGAGGCGGCCAAGAAGGACGTCAAGCTCGCCGAGATCAACGCAGAGCACGCCAAGATGAACCTGGAGCTGGTAAAGCTTCAACAGGCCCACGCTTCCTGCGAGGTGAGTTTTCAGTGTGAGTGCGAGTTTTCAGATGCACCAGTGTCAGAGTGATGTAATCATCACTGTGATCTCAATAGACCATTCTAGTCGTGGCCGAGTGAAGAACAAGGAGAATCTCAAAAGACTCCATTTAGGGCATTTGAAGTGCATATATTCGCTCAAAATATGTTACATTTACCAGAAGATATTTTCATTAACTTCTGCCACAAAGGGACTTACACTGGGAGAAATAATGAAGATTGTGGCTGTTAAACCTAATGCCACTCTCCACTGTTTACCGAAAGAAGGTGTTTACCGTACCCTGGGATACAGTAGACACCGTACCTGAAAGAACGGCGTTCACTGTATCCAGGGAACCTGCATCCACTGTACCTTGGAAACTTTTCAGACACGGCATTCAGTATAACTGTAAGATAAAGGCGAAATTCCAAAATCGCGATAGGAACGTTTCGATGACGGAAATGAATTCATCTCAACAAGACGAACAAAAAATGATAAGCATATTATGGTCTCAGACTCGTAATTCAGTGGAAATCGTGATCAGAAGTCTAAAAAAGTAGGATTTTTGGACCCCTAACATAGGACTCATCAAATTACGTTCCAAAATTCTACTTTTTTAGACTTTTGATGCCGATATCTGTTGAATTTCGAATCTGAGCCCATAGCATGCTTATCATTTTTTGTTCGTCTTGTTGAGATGAATTCATTTCCGTCATCGAAACGTTCCTATCGCGATTTTGGAATTTCGCCTTTATCTTACAGTTATACTGAATGCCGTGTCTGAAAAGTTTCCAAGTACAGTGGATGCAGGTTCCCTGGATACAGTGAACGCCGTTCTTTCAGGTACGGTGTCTACTGTATCCCAGGGTACGGTAAACACCTTCTTTCGGTAAACAGTGGAGAGTGGCATTAGGTTTAACAGCCACAATCTTCATTATTTCTCCCAGTGTTGAATATTTGAAGTTAAAGTGCAAAAAAGTACCCTTTTGTGATTCTTCTTGATCTTCACTCGGCCACGACTAGAATGGTCCATCGCCATGTACATGCTCTGAAAAACGTCTGCCAAGCATCAGCTTTGTAAATACGAAGAAAGTGATTTCGTATGACGAAGTGATGCTCCGTTGACTTTTTTTCTGTGTACGTGGTATGTACGGTGGTGTATTGTGAGAAATCGCACCATGTTTGCAACGCTATAGTCAGCCTTTGATGGGTCACACACGTCAAAATTCAACTTCTTGCATCTATCGGTGCAACTTTTATCGGCAGTTTGAAAACAACTGGGTTACGTAGCTTTTTTTCTGGCTAAGCAATGGCCCAGCTCTTCGAGTTGGGTTGAAAAGTTAAAAATTGTCAGAACGGACGCAGCATTGCGAAGTATGTTACGGCAGATCCTTGCGTTAACATATTTTGTGTGGCAAGTTTCCTATCGTTCTATTTGCTACCTGGGGTGCCGACAACGAAAATTATGGCCAATTTGATTTTCAAACGTCGCGTTTCCTTTTCGTGTGCTGTCTTTGTCGTTTTAATGTGGACTTTACAGTAAGAAGGAAGCCGTATTCTTGCTTGAACAACGAACTTGACGTTTTGTTATTGATTGGATTGTGAAGTCACCTTCCTCGATTTTCTATGCAGAGAGATTTGTTGTTTTTTCTGTTGTTTTTGTTGCCTTTGTTGTTGTTTGACAAATCGATCAGCGCGCTTAACGTTTGTCAACGAATGTGGCGTCATACTAGTTGCAATGTGGGTTAGGTCTCATGGAGTTTGAGTGTCGATCCTCGTTCAAACCGCCGCGTCACGCTTAAACGAATGTGATACTGTATCGTAACGAACGTTTCATAACTCTCACTCAACCCTTTATGACGTCACACTCGTCGAATAACAGTGCACCTTTCGAAACCTGCGTCTCATTTCGCGCTTCATGTGTTGTTTCTCAGGGTGCTGCCTCGACCGAAGCCGGTCCGTCCACCAAAAAACCGCGCACGTCTTCACCGGAAGCACCACCAGCAGCAGCAGCAACAACACAACCTCCGCAGCAGCAGGGCCTCGGCGAGGTGGAGCAGGCCCAGCAAGACCTAGAGGCCGCGCGGAGCCGACTGCAGCAGTTGTCGGAGAAGGTCGCGGAGCAGCGGAAGCGGCAGCAGGAGACGGCGCGCCAGCTGGGCGACCTGAGGAGTGCTCACCGCGACTGCAAGGTGAGTTGTGGGCGTGGCCGTGAGCGCGCAGTCTTAACTCCTCAAACACTGAGATTTCAAACGCCATGAGTAAAGCACGTATGGTGCAATGCATTGAGATATTGCACCTTACGTGCAATGCGTCCCGATAATGCCCTATGATAATGCATGCGAAGGCATTGCACTTCACACTATGAAAACGTCTTCAAATGCATTGCACCAATTGGCGCTATACTCATAACGTTTGGATTCTCAGTGAATAAACGTTCTTTGTAGTATAAATATATCGGTGACATCGCAGCCTGTAAGGGACTCGCGTTCCTCACAGAAGTGAGTGTTTTGTTGTTGTAAAAGAAGTATTTTGTAGACTGCGAAGGATTTTCTCTTGAATGCTGATGAAACTAGCGTAGCTCACTCAAAGCAACTGTATTTGTTCAGGAGGTATGGAGCTCCTGAGCTCTTGCACGCTTCACTTAGGGCTGGAATGCTACGCCTTAGTACTATCAGTGCATTAAAATCAAAACCGTTCGTGTCTCAAACGATTCCTTCGCAGACGGCGAAACCACCGGTTCTTTTTCGCACTAAGTTTTTGAGGACCGTTTTAAATGCATGTTTATGCACTTTTTATGCATGCACAGATACGGTTCACTGTACATTTAACACACTAAATTTCTGTGTAGGGTTCTGTGCATAGCCATGCACGAAACTGCATGCGCTTTAAAATGAACAAATTTCATGCGCAACAACGCACACTTTAGGGCGTAGTTGTGCACAAAGTCGTACATTTTGAAACGCATGCACAGTTTCGTGCACAGCTTATGCACTCAAAACCACGTAGCAATTAAGTGAGTATGCAGGAAGATGCCTAAAATGTACACAGTGCACATGATGCAAAATATTACACCTTACACACGTATCTGTGCGTGCTTAAGGGGGGACATCACTCCAAAAACAGTGCTTTTGTAAAAACGAAACGGAAAGAGAAAAATTGTTCATATTTTAACTGATAAAGTATAAAACAACACAAAGTCAATCCGCCAGGGCAGTACAGCGCTTTCGTTGAAAATGCATTTTTGAGTGTTAGGTTAGACCATTTCGCACGGTTGCAGCGCTGGACGCCAAACGGTTTGACCTAGAACATTGAAATTTGGTGACAGCCTTCCTGAGATGTCTGGCTGTGGTGGGTACCTCAATCACATTTCAAAAATCATTTTAAGTTGTATTTGTAGCATACCAAAAAAAATTGTTCAATTTTTTTGGCCAAAATTGTCCAATTTTAAACGTTAACAAAATAATAAAAATTGACCAATGCAAATTATTTTGCTACCCACTATAGCGGCATGTCGTAGGAGCTTCCATGCTAAATCTCCCCGCTGTAGCTCAAAAACTGCGCCCTAGAGGCCTGCAACCGTTTGCAATTTCATGTTCCGAGAAAAACGCGATCAAAGTTGGGGAAACTGGTCTTTTCCCCTGTGCATGTTTGCGGCCCACAACCTCCTAGAACTGCAATTTTTTGAATTCTGGAATGCGGTTTTCACCATTCGACGCAGAAAGGAATGGTCTATAATATAAACTAATAAAAAAAAGTTGTAATTTTTTATCATTTTGGAGTGATGTCCCCCCTTAATCATGCATTAAAGATAGTCCTCAACTTTAAAGTGTGACTAATGACAAAGCACGGTCAGCCAGAATCAATCTGAATCTGACGGTTGCGTGTTGCAGGTGGCTGCGGGCGGCGAGGTGAAGGAGGTGAAGATGCTGCGCTGCACCTCCAAGACGCTCCTCGACAAGGCCAAGCGGAAGGCGTTCCTGTCCGCCCTCACCACGGCGCCCTCCATCAAGTCTCTCTCGCTGGACCTGGTTGCGAAGGGCAACAAGCCGCTGCCCAAGTCGGTGCTGCAGACGCTGCCCAGGGCGCCCGCCAGGATCAAGCAGCTCTTGTTGACCTTCGGCCGGCACAGCGAGGAGGCCGTGCTGGCGCTGCTGCAGCGCTCCAAGGACCACCTGGAGGAGCTGTACCTCAACAGCGGCTTCGCGACGGACGACAACATCCGGCGCTTCTGGGGCATCGTCCAGGACTCGAACATCGCGGTGCTGAGCCTGATTTCGGATTCCTTCCTGCGGGACGTGGGCTTCCCGTTTCAGGCGGAGAAGTTACGCCACGTGCGCAGTCTGTCAGTCTCAGGTAAGGGGAAATCACTGTGTATTTTGGTGTACGAATCTTGTGAATTTCAGCCGAAATTCCGATGAATTTCAGTCGTATTTCGATGAATTTAAGTCGAATTTCGATGTATTTCAGTCGAAATTTCGATGAATTATAATGAATTTCAGTGAACTTTACTGTTGGATGAATTTCGGTGTTCATATTTGGCTGGAGTTACCATTTTTCCCCTTGGTCTCAGGCTACTACGTATCTTCTTTCGGGAGCGACAAACACAAGAAGAACGTGCTGGTGCCTCTGCTCCGGGTCCTGGGCAGTGCGGCCAGCCTGCGCAAGTTCGTTCTTCCCTGGGCCTTTGCTGAGCAGGAGCGGGGGGATGTCTTCGCCGCGCTGGCTCAGTGCAGCGAGCTGGAGGAGGTGTACACGCCCTGCTACAAGGAGCTGGCCCTACTGCGGGGCTGCGTCAAGCTCAGGAAACTCGCGGTGCACCGCATCAACAGAATGGACTACCCCAAAAGTGAAGCAGTCGAGGAGATTCAGGCTGCCGCCGAGTTCTTGAAGTTGCCTTCCACCGTGGACCGATTAGAGAGCCTTTCCATCGAATATTTTCAGTTAGGCAAAGAGACAGTCCTCCCCATCTTCCGCGCCGTCCGAGGTTTGAAGAAGTTGAAGAGCCTCTCGCTGAAGGTGTTCCAGGAATTCCCTGAGATGACAGCCACCCTGAAGGCGCTCCCACTCCTTGAGGAACTCCGCCTGATTCAGGGGACTTACATGTACCCGAAGGCACTTCGCACAATCACGCCGGAGCTGGTGCCGAATTTGAAGCTCCTCGAGTTGGACACACACGCGCTTGAAGTGGACGAGGAATTGGAGGCGTGGAAGGAAGAAGTGTACTCGGTGGAATCCGACTTTAGGCATCGGAACGGGAGTTTCAAACTGATCGATCATACCAGCTTCTCCCCACCTCACAGCTCCTTTTCGGACGAGTCGGGTGGTTACAAGGTTTGCACATGTGCCGCCCAGGATGGGTCCTACGACTCCAATGGATCTCCTATCAAATGCACGTGCGGACTCTCGTCTGATAATGATACTCCTTAGTGACTTGATTTATTGTTCGTGCTGATTGGAAACTTCTCTGAGGAACATTTTCATTTATGTCCGATTTTTAAGTGTTGACGAAATTTGAGAACTTGATTGTTGCACATCTAATGATGAAGATAATTTTTATTTTTTCGATCTGTATTGGGTAGAAATCTTGTCCAGCGAAGGGTTCGTGTGTTTCCCGACCAAGAGTAAGCTACGCGATGTAGGTAAATTGAAAGCTATCTGATTATACTGACCAATTTCTGCCTCATTGTAGTGTCGTGAATGAAGTTTTCGGACATGATCGGCACATGAACCTACCTAAATGTAGAGTACGTATTTGCTATGTACCTTTGTGATGAATTCGTGCCACCAAGACACATTTTGTTTTCCGCTGTGTGTTCTTCTTGCCTTGAATAATATTCTTAGTCGAACCACTCTGTGTATGGTGAAGTCTACTTTATTGTGTCGAACAAGTTACAGTACTTGATTTTGTGTACATGGCCCCCTGTAGGGCCGGTATTCAATAGTATCACTTTCTTGTTTGATGATATCTCTGTTGGTTTTAGTGTTAGAAAGACAGACTAACACAATATTTCTGTTTTATATGATCTGTTATTTCGAATCAATACAAAAAGCTGTTTGAAACATCTTGTGCTTTTAAGTCCTTTATTCCTTGACGATGTAATCAGTATTAACCTTCCTGAACATTTAGTTGGGATGAAATGTCGCCACAACACTGGTAAAACGAAAGCGTAACTCTATGCTTGAGTCAAGCATAAAGTTACGCTTGAAGACGTTACGTTTGAAATGAAGCATACTCTGGAAAATCCCCTATGCATTTGGATAGGGGAAAACTTGTTGGATGAGCCTGTTACGCTTGATTTCAAGCGTAACCTGATTACGCTTGAAAACAGAGGGTAATGCTACGCTTTAGTTGTACCAGTGAAGTTACACACCAGTACTCAGAACACTAAAGTCGAAGGTCAGGTCGCACCGGCCGCAGCGAATCAGAACCCTTCCATCAATAGGCAAACTGAGGCAGAGCGTATCGAAGTGTACCCAACTCCGTCGCGATGTAGTCAGCGTCGAACTCGTCCACTGTGGTCTTCCCATTGTTGACACAACAAAGGTACTTGGCCTCATACTTAAGGGGCTCATACATGTTAAAAGCACTTTGTAAAAATTTTCTTTTGATGTAGACGGATCAAGATTTTACAATTTCTGTGTTAAAACCCTTTTAGATAATTGAGTAAGCTTCATTTTGGCTTAAAGGAAAGTGACTTTGGACATTTTTTGGAGATTTAGTCGAAACGTTTAAAATTTTGGTTCTCGTAAGATTTTGTTCGCATACTTGCTCAGATCTGTGGGGAAAAAATCAGGGAGACTCATCCCTAGTAGTGTCATAGAATTGACTACAATGGGCTTTATATCTACAATAGTTTTCAAGAAAAAAAATAAAAACAATTTTTTAACAAGTTTTTGAACAAATTTTTAACAAAAAATTGTTTTTATTTTTTTTCTTGAAAACTATTGCAGATATAAAGCCCATTGTAGTCAATTCTATGACACTACTAGGGATGAGTCTCCCTGATTTTTTCCCCACAGATCTGAGCAAGTATGCGAACAAAATCTTACGAGAACCAAAATTTTAAACGTTTCGACTAAATCTCCAAAAAATGTCCAAAGTCACTTTCCTTTAAGCCAAAATGAAGCTTACTCAATTATCTAAAAGGGTTTTAACACAGAAATTGTAAAATCTTAATCCATCTACATCAAAAAAATTTTTTTTACAAAGTGTGTTTAACATGTATGAGCCCCCTTAAGAACTTTTTAGCACCAATTTGTTCATTGCTAACCCAAGTGTGGACTCGAGGCGTGCACCAGGGTTCAAGCTTGTGGTCTTGTTCCACACTTGCATTAACAGTGAACGTAAAACTACTAAAATGCGTACGTTCGTAACGTTGTTATAAATGCACGCACACCCAAAGTTGAGGGTGACCTTGGCAAGAGCTGTTGTGCAACAGGACAAAGAAATATTGTACACTAAACGGGGAACTGGGGTAGGCTCAGCTATGCGACCCGTCTTCCGATGCAATTTTATTTTCGGCGGTTTTGCAGGTTTATCGAAAGAATCTATTAAAAGTTTTCGCTCTAAATTTCCGACGAACAAATTTCCCACGATACGAAGAAAATGGCACAAGCATAATACGAAGGTGGTTTTTTGGCCCGTCCCGTTTATTTTTTGTAAAAGAAATGACGGAGGGACGGGCATATAGTATGATCCCTGCTGTGCGTCCGTTCGTTCGTCCGAGGACTTCCCGTGGTCCGATCTTGACCAAATTGGGGATGCAGCCTCCTTGGGTGACCCTAAGAACCGCCCGGTGACAGCAAATCCGATCCGAGCCCCGGGGGCGCTGCTGCAGGTGCACCATGGTCTACATGGGGTCGAGGAGGATCTCGGCAACGGATACAGCTAGCAGGGCATGTAGGGGTATTTTTGAAATCAGGGCGACGAGACAAAACTAACGGTGTCAGTTTCAAGCGAATCGGAGGAGTTTGGACCCGGGTTCAAATCCCAGTGGGGTATATTTTAAACTTTCCTTTCATTCGAGTTTTTGCATTGTTTCTTATGTTTTTGAGGGCGCTGATGACGAAAATAACATCTATTTTAACCCCAGACACAGGTTCAAACACGTCAGGGTTAAACAAAGGCGAAATTCACACATTTGTTAATGTACGGGACGGGCCAAAGTTGCCGATGTATATCGCTACTTTTCCTGTTATCTTCGCGTTACGAAGGTTTTTCTTCGTATCGTAAAATAAAAATAGCGAAAAGACTCGTACTACGGAGGAATATTACTTCGTATTATGCTTGTGCCGAATTCACTGTAGCGTAGGTCAAATTTCAGGGCATTTCTAGGCATCCTGAGTGAAGCCTGTGCCACACACTGCAAGGAAAAGTGTGACTAGTATACCAATAACTGTACACTAAAAGTACAACAGGAATTGTAGAAAGTACAACGAGAATCGTACAAACAAACCAACGAGGCCTGGACCGCCGCACAGCACTCGTCATGCCGGCTCCATTGTACTTAGAACAACAATTGTTGTACTTCGAAAGTACGACAAATTTCTGTTAAAAAAATTTGCCGGGAATTCGTGTACTTTCGTTGTGGTTTTTCACAGTGCACCTCCACGCCGCCGCTTGACGACGAGGCAGTCATTCACCCCCTCGGCGAAGAAAGTGAGCATCCTCGTGTCGATAATAAACGGTGGGCCGTGACAAGATAAAGCCGAACCGAGGGCGCTACCGCGCTGCCGGCTCGCGTCGGGAGAGGTGCGGCGGCTTGCCAGCAGGCTGCGGCAACGACGCGAAAAGCAAAGCGGAAAACTAATGCCGCCCCATCCGTCACCGTCAAAACGGAATCGATGTTTTGAGCGCGTCACTCCGACGCGGCCCGCCTTGCGAGTTGCACAGCGAGGCGGTGAATAAGTCAGCCCTTCGTGCCGATTTTAGCCGCAAGATGTGCAATTATGCATTTTCAGACAAAAAAAAAAGCAATTTTCAAGTTCCGAGAAAACGCGTGGTCACTGTAAAAACTTCTGTACTGTTGTACGGAAATGGCACAGAAAGATATAGTACGGAGAAAAGTACGGAACGTTCCGTACTTGCTCCATTTAAACCCATGAAAATAGGTACGGAAAATAAGTACGGAACGTGCCGTAGTTGGCAAGTACGGACGTTCCAGGTAAATTATTGGCCAGACATGATCCGACATGATCCGTTTTTTCTCACAGTGGTTTTAATTTCCAAGACCGGCGTTTAGAGGCGCTTATTATTGCTCTTGAGCTCGCTTGTGCTTCTTAAGCCATAAAAAATCCGATTTTTTTCATGGGGGTCACCGGCAGTAAACGTTAAAACAAGAATCGCAAAGGTTTAAAAATTTTAAAATTTACTTCGGTGTTGGAAAACCGATGACCCTCACTGAAAACCCTAGCGTGTACTCACTACTGAACTTCCCACGCTTACTGAGCTCCTCTGTGCGTCTCTTCACCGAAGTACTGTATTCCGAGGACGACTTGAGAGTTGGACTTCGTGCAGCGCATCGTGCGACCCAGTGCACCTCACGGTTTTCTTGTGGACAGGACCCTCCACTTGTAGATCCAACCTCAAGGTTTGAACGCAGGTAGTTAGCACAATAGTGGGACTCATCACAAGGGCATTCGCGGTTCCTTCGGTTAACAGTATGGGTGATGATGTGGAAGCTCAATGCTGTTTCCGGTAGCAGCAATCGTTAATGTCCCCAAAGTATCCGAATTAGTTGTTTCGGCGGTACCGTCACAAGGTACGTGGAGCCTGACAACATCTTGGAGTAGCAAAATCTCGGCTTACCAACATCTTGGCGTAACAAAGTCGATTTATGGACGTAGACGAAAATTCAACCGCCGAAGACTTGCTTTCCGTGAACGCCAATGCAAGGTGCAAGTGTTGGCGTAGCAGTGCTTAGCAGTGCAGTTGCTTATTGCCCAACAAGTCTCCACTTCCGGCTGGCTTTGGTAGGAGCAGAATAGGGAGGAGTGCCCACGGACCAGCGAAACCTCAGACTTGGCGGATCCAGAGTCGGCCCAAAGGGGAGGGGGGGAAAATTAGCACTTTTTGCCTACTTACAGGGGCAAATCGGTGCTTTTTGCCTACCTTTCAGGCGGCTATGTAGGGGTCGCATTCGGAGCATGATAAAATACGCTGTCTAATCGATCTAAAAATATTTATATATACTGTAGGTACCTTTATTTATATAGTTAGAGTGGTGGGCAAGGGATATAAATTTAAAGTTCATGCTCGAAGTGGCTTTAGATAGTCACATTATGTTCACTTCACTAATTATTTCCCGCGTGGAAGGATCTGTAGTTTAGGCTACACTGGAAAAATATTTTTTTTTTGTAATTGTCTATTTAGATTTAAAAGAGAGATTTCTGTACTTTAAATACAATTAAACTGTTAATTGAGTGCATAAAAATGTAGTCAAAGTAGAGATAAAGTATAGAAAACTATAGTTAAACTGTATAAAAACTACCAGTTATTTCGGACAACTATAGTTTTTGACCCCAGTTTGTCCCACTTGACTATATAGTTCAAAGTACAGTTTTACTGTAGTTTATTTACACAGGTAGACTTGGTTTAAAAAAGAAAAGAGACTGCAGTTTGAATTTTGCGGTCAAAATTCAAAAATAGTAATTTTCGAGCCCTGTTTTGAGGAAACTCTTCCTCCCTCCCACCCCATGGGTAACTGAAGTTGTGTTGATTGTGTTTCTTGGGTGAATGTTGCCGGGAGTTGAACCTCGGACACTTCAGTTGCGAAGCAGAGGCCTTGACCACTGCTCCACTGAGCTTCCATGTGGGACAGGGCTTGGCCACTCGACCACATGGAAAGGCCTGCTATCCCCAGGAACTAGAGTGCAACTGCAAGAAAAATACAGTTTTACTGTAAACTGCTCTGTACTATAAGTAAATTTTGCAAATCCAAGAAGTAATTTGTATTAAGTTTGCCTCTGAAACAAAGAGACCATGAAGTGATTTAATTTAGAGTGCCTTTTCAGTCTTATTTTTCAACGACAGGAGTCGTTACCTTTTTAACTTCTGAGACGTTCTGGATCAAGACGCTTCCTAATTTTTGTTGCGTTTAACATTCAAACACCTGGTTATAATGAGTTTGATGCTTCTTAACTAGAACTTGTTTGTCATCTTTGTCAAACTAGTGACACATTGTGGTTTGTTGATTTCCACGATTCCTTGTCACATAATACCTGACCAATATGGAACGTTATAAAATAATCAAACAGATTACCAGATGGTGTTTTAAAGATTTGGTTACATTCAGTCATGTGTTTTTGTATTTGCTTTTTTTAAAATTTTAGTTTAGTCGTGCCTTCTAAAAGTCTCCAATGTCCAGTATTTCAACGTAAACTGTTGGTCTGCGCACTTATAACTTCCTAGGCTCATACATTATAGAGACTAAAACCAACCTTTATAGCTTGAAATTTTTTAAAAGAAATTACTAAAATTTCTAAAAAATATATCTATTCCCATCCTAATATTCTATATTTTAGTTACATTTTATAATTGTTTCTGTGTCTTCATATCAAATTGCAGTGCTTGACTTATCTTTAAACCATGCCTGAAATGCAAAATTACTGCAAATTGTAGTAAACATTCAACCTGCTTGTCATTGTGTATAAAAATGTGACCAGAAACTACATTTGCTTTGTGGATTGTGCTGAAGATACAAGTGTAGGCAGATCTTCAGTAGTAGACTACAGAATTAAAGAATTAATAACTTCCCTTTAAAGTACAGACCGTACTCAATACCTAGTTAACAAATAACAGTTCAGATAGAGTGAAGTTTTAAAGCACAGCAACCTTCAGTTCCAGGAGCAAACTGTACAACTGTACAACTGTACAAGTTCTGAAGTTTGTTCTTACAAAAAACTGCAGTCAGCAACTGCAGTTTTGGCACTGTAGTTTAAACTGTAGTTTCACTACAGATCCTTCCACGCGGGTTTTTTTCAATTTCATTATGATTTTCTGAGCTTTGGCTGGTTTAGTAGAAGGCTGCACCACAAGATCTATTGTGTGTGAAGTAAACTTCCGTGGGAAATTTGGGGGGCAAATTTGACCGCCCAGGTCGACGAAATATATTTTTCAGCTTTTGAGGATTTCGGATCAGAGCTTGCCTATTGTTAGCATTAAAAACTGCTTGCCAATTTTGTGGCAACAACCAATCTTGAATTTCTGCCACTGGGTTTGCAGTGCCGTCGCGCTCGCTCTCCTCACTGCAAAGCCGATGGTCAGTTTGCTTCCCACAAATTTGGCAAGCCGTTTTGAATGCCAAAATTTGGCAAACTTTGGTCGGCAATCTTCACACGCTTGCCAATTTTTGGGCATTCAAAACGGCTTGCTAGATTGTGGCAAGCAAACTTACCACCGGCTTTGCAGTGCAAAGCGACTGGAAGCGAAGTAGTCGCTGACTGAACCCTGTTGCAGGTTTTGTTGGAGCATGGCTTCCAAATTGCGAGGCGACGCCGCTCAGCAACCCACTTCGTTTCGTCGGACCGCGCACGTCGGCACTCGTACCGGGGAGAAGCAGTTAGAGTGCGCAGTCTGCCAGAAGAAATTTGGGTACCCAAGTCATCTCGAAATTCATTTACGAACCCATACAGGCGAGAAGCCATTCGAGTGCACAGTCTGTTTGAAGAAGTTCTATAATGCATCGCATCTCAGAAACCATGTACGGATCCACACAGGAGAGAAGCCATTCGAGTGCATTCTGTCAGAAAAAGTTTAATCAAGCGTCGAATCTCAGACAGCATTTACAAACCCATACAGGCGAGAAGCCATACGAGTGCACAGTCTGTCTGATGAAGTTTAATAACGCATCACATCTCAGAAGGCATTTACAAACCCATACAGGCGAGAAGCCATTCGAGTGCACAGTCTGTCTGAAGAAGTTTAGAGGAGCATCGAATCTAAGAAGCCATTTACGAGCCCATACAGGCGAGAAGCCCTTCGAGTGCACAGTCTGCCAGAAAAAGTTTAGTGAAGCATCGACTCTCAGAAGCCATTTACGAACCCATACAGGGGAGAAGCGATTCGAGTGCACAGTTTGTCAGAAGAAATGCAGTCGACGACATTTTCTCAAAATACATCTTGGAACCCATACAGGAAAGTAGCTATTCGAGTGCACAGTCTGTTTGAAGAAGTTTAATGAAGTATCGCATCTCAGAAGCCATTTACTAGGCCATGCAGGGATGAATCCACTCCAGTCTCTCTGATCAACTCATTTCACAGCATATGGGGACATACGGTCACAATTGTTGCGTATTTTTAGTATTGCTGGAGTGAGACATCATATTTGGTACAATACGAATCATTTAACATTCAATCTAGTGCTAATTCTTGATGTCTTGATCAATGCACGACAGTCAATTAGATATGAAAGGAGCTGCAGCGTCATAAGTGACGCGGCTCACGCTTTTAATGTGACGTCGGTTTCATGTAACACTTAGTGGTTACCTGGTGGTGTCTTGAAATTGAATATGCTGCTCTCTTAAGAGAGCAAGATTGTAGTGATGCTTCTTAAAAGAATCTATTATCAGGTGCGTGCTTTAGACACTGTTTGACTGGAACCGCGTATTTTTTTAATTGTTGACCTTGGTAAGGTGGTTCTTGTAATGGTCTCACGTGTGTGTGTGTGTGTGTGTGAACTCTTTCATTGTGATACGAGCCATTTCATAATTTTGTTGGACTCTTTTGTCTTTTCCTAAGATGGTTTCCGTGTCATTGTTTTTTCCTGTTATTGCAAGACTAGGTTATTAGACTTTCTCTCGTTCGGAAATAAAAAAGGCGCTTATATTTTTTTCAATATCTTTCAGTACAAGTATTTGAACTGCTGTAATATTTTATATTTTAAGTAAAAAGGGGAAATTTTCAAAATTTTAGCTTTAAATATCTTATTGAATTTTCCCGGTTATCTTTTTTTTGTAGTCGTGTACCCGCCTGTACTCGCCCCTCTTACAAAGCTGGGCGATTTCTTAAATACGCAAGTCGTCTAAGCATCACATTTGTCACGTCTGAACCAATGAGACAGTGTGGCTCCTGACAGATGTAAAGTTGAAAGTGCACCGAGAAGGATCACCGTCTTATGTTCATAAGTATGATGCCATAATTATTCGTAGAAACTACCCACTCCTGTGGAGTCAGTGACTGACTTGGAGATTCAATCCTTCTCGTCAAAGCGCTTCTTTCAAATTATTTCTGGGCCAAATGCGGGACAGTCAAAATCCCGCACCTTCGTCCCGAAACCTCATGTTGCAGGATGTATATATGCACTGACCATTTATCTTCCTTGACACACTTTGCCCAATTTCGTCCCATTATCCAGCGGATGTGTCGTATATACTTAGCGAGGGTGGGGTGGGTGGACTACTTACAGGGCCAGTTAGTAGTGCGTGGGGCGTCCGAGGGCTTTCAAGGGGAGTTGGCAAGGGTCGTATCTGCTCACTGCAAACGCAACGGCGATACTAAAGTACATTTTTTGGCGATACAAATGAGTATCGCCAATAAACGGCCGTACGGAAAAGTAATGCCTTCAGAACGGCGATACAAGAAAGTATCGCCAAAATTTGGCAATACTTTTGGATAATGCCAAAACCACGGCATTAAACCATGGTCTTGTCCCCTTGATTTGTTCGACGTTTATTGCCAAATCGTGGCAATACTCCCAAGTATCGTCAAATTTTGGCGATACTTTTGTGTATCGCCGTTTTGAAGGCAATACACTGGGCGAAAAAACCACAGTGAATCCCGTTAATTTTTTTGCCAGGATTTACTGTAGCTCAGAACACATGATTTACTGTGCCTGGCTACAGTACTGACTGTACCTGGTGCAGGATATTCCGTACTCCACTCCTGTGGTACAGTAAATTCCGTGCAAACTACAGTAGATCCTGTAAAAAAGTACAGTAAATCCTGTACTCTGAATTACAGTGACAGCTGTACTAATCACTACAGGATTTACTGTGATTTTTTCCCACAGTGTACTTTTCCGTAAGGCCGTTTATTGGCGATACTCAATTGCATCGCCAAAAAAGGTACTAAAAGTATTGCCTTTGGATTTACAGTGTGTGTGTGTGTGTGTGTGTGTGTGTGTGCGGAAGGAGGCCCCACATGGCGTGTAGCTTACTGGGCAAAGGCCTCCCCTGCTGAATGTCCATAAATTTCGTAACGCTGAACCGCCTCGATGGCCATCGCTCCCGCCCCTTCTTTTCCAGGCCGCCGCTAGTACATTGAAAAGTGGGGCGATTCGATAGTCGCAACAGAATTACCGCTTGACTTCGAGCGCTGCGCAGACGCAATTCTGTCTCCTCACGAAGAGCCTCTTTATCCTATTCGAGATTCAGTTTCTCTAGACGGTAGTTCTGTAGCTATCAGACATATCAGCGTATTTTCTATGGGATTCCCTGTGAACATACGTTGTTCTGCCAGATGACCACTCAGTTAATGCACGGATTATAAGTCATTTAATTCTATAGCCTGGCAAGTCTTAGTGGTCCTCAATGTTAAGTCTGGTACGCAACATCTGAGTGCAAAGTTAATTGTGACTATGAAAATTTTGGCTGTCCTTTGATGGCAACTTGAAGGCCATATTCATCAAACCTTATCGATGACGTTGTCACGCTCATGTTATATGTGTGAGAGCTGAAATGAAGATGACATTGTCATTATTTTGTGATTATGACATTGTCATCATGGGTGGTACGAACACCATCAAAGTGACAACACTGGGTAACCCTTTTGCACCGTAAACTTGAATTCGGCACGAAGTCGTTGTGTGCTGCTCCTGCCGGGAACATGTCGAAATGTGGCTGGCTGGCGGGGCCGCCGAGACAAAACAGATACCGCTGGGGCAGCATCGGCGGCAAACACGGACCCGGGAAGCGGCGCCGGCCGGGACGGCCCGGATAACGGATGGCCGTGTCGCTCAAGGGGCGCCGGAATGCCGCTGCATTTGTATTCAGGGAGGCGGGACGCAACGCCGCGTCGCCAGTTCGAAGGAAGGGACTCGCGTCATTCCAAGGACCGTTCGGGTTAATTCCCACGGTGAAAACGGTACCTGGTTTTCCGTTTTCCCAGAAAGCCTATGGTAGAGACAAAGGCGATTTCCAGGGAGTTCCTGGGAAAACCAGGAACTCTTTTAAGTACCGTGCACATATGACGTCATGTGATCCAGAACCGGAGTCTTGCCGTCTGTATTTGGCCCACTAGTACAGGATCTTCCTCAATTGTTTATGTCTTATCCCAAGTCCGCGCCCTCTGAGTCAAAAACCAATTTGCGAGCTATGGACAAATTGTATTCAAAAAGTCCGAAAAAATGTTGAGTGTTTAGTAAGTGTTCTCAAAACAGATCGGTCTAGTTTTGACATGTCCACGGCTCAGCCATCCGTTCGACAGTGGGTGAGGCGGCCAGGTCCCGGACGCGTTTAGAGCTCCAGAGTCGCAAACTGGGACTCAACCCTAACGTGTGACCCCACCAATGGATTGCTCTCTGAACGAGGAAACCATTTGTGGAGTCACATGTTCGGTTCTAGCCCCTTTTAGTGACTCTGGAGCTCAAAACGCTTCTAGAATTTTGACCGCCTCCACCGTTCTTCTGGCTCACTGTGCGTTGGCGGACAGGAAGTACCCAGCGCCCCCAGCGCGGCCCTCTTGGTTGTAATTTTCGCCTTATCGTGCAGTAACCGAATCTCTTCCGCGCAACGGTCGGGCCCCATCAAGTACCGATTACCTGCGGACTGTTTCCAAGGGTCCTTTTTGCCCCTCCGTCTCTCTCCCGCTCATGGGGCGTTCCGTATAGGTGCGAGAGAAACAGCGGTGAAAACGACTCTCGGAGTCAGTCTGCTGTGGACGGCCGGGGGTCATTTCTCGCGCGACCTGGCTTTAGCCGCGTGGACCAGCGAGGCGCTGACCACATTAACGCGCTATCAGTGCGCTTTTATAGTTTACGGCCCATTGCCGGCGTGCTTTCGGGGACACCATTGCCGTCGTTTCCGCATTCGGGAAAATACTTTGTATCGTCCATCCTTGACAAGTTACGAACTGCGGTCTATTTTATGAAAATTAATCTAGTTCACGTGTTGGACGAATACGGCCCTTCCTCGTTCAAAAAAAGAATTGTGAAACTGAATTTAGTTTCCTTAAGGTTATTTTATTAATATCTAAAGCTTGCCAGAAAATAGAGAAGCAGCCCCATTTGCTGTTTCACCGACCTAAGGAGGCCTTGATTGGTGCCGAAGAAACGGAGAAAAAGGACGCGACTGTCATAAGACAGAGCTTCCCCGGTGACCAAGGCGGGGTCTTAGGAAGCCAAGGCCACACAGGGACCTAACGACCATCATCCAACACTGCCAAAGTTTTTTTTCTTCGGAGTAATTTTACGGCCATTATCAACGGATTCCTTTGTAGCTGGTAATTGAATTTAATGTGGGAAAGATAGAAAGACTTATTCACTCGTTTCCAGTCAGGTGGCTATCGGGTTCGAGGTGTTCTAGAGACGATGAGTCACTCCTAAGTACTGCACAGTGAGCCCGCACAGTGGGCTAGAAGAGCACCGGCTGCGTCCAACATTCATGACGCGTTTTGAGCTCTCGAGTCGCTTTAGCGGAGCGTGTGACCCCATCAATGGATTCCTCGTTCGGAGAGCAATCCATTGATGGGGTCGTAGGTTCGATTTGACTCTTATTTAGCGACTCTGGAGTTCAAAACACGTCCCGGGATTTCAACCGTCTCCACCTCCTGCTGTGGCCCGCGACGAGCAGGGCCTGGGCGACGGGCTTGTACATTTCCGAAAGTAGATGGGGCATTAATACCCAACGAGGGCGGCACCCCTCGGCGCCGAACGCCAACGCCTCTGCGCTGTATTATTTCGCGCCGACACGAACGTATTAGCATTTAACTCTGAAAAGAAACGGTTGGAGCAGCGGCTCACATTTCCGTATTATTATTCCTTTGACCGGGACAGCCATTGTAACAGAGCGAGGCGGCCGCGGCGGCTCTTACTAGCAATGCGGACGGAGTTGGTGGAGATCGGTGGCGGGAAGGCAGAACCCGTACCGACTCGTTTCTGCTCATTGTCGTCCGCGTCCCATTCCGACACGACGAGCATCAGAAATAGTTTCACGAGCAGTTCGGTCGCTGTTCAACCGCCGAAGCATCTGCCCTATGCTGTGGGGTCCTTCTGTCCAGTGCAGTGGACTGAGTTACCCATATAATTGGCCACGATGCGCTAAAAAAACAACTAAAGGTCGCCTCAAAAAGTCGTCTCCACCCCCCCCCTCTCTCTCTAACACTTTTATCAGGCCTCCTGCCTGTGGCGGCGTGCATCTTGATCAACTCCAGCACAGGCGGCAGCTGCGCCAGCTAATACATAAAAGAGCGCATTAAATTTTACGCGAAAAAAAACTAACCCTCTGGCCTGCTGCCGGGGTTGAAGGTAAAGCTGATGGCGCTCCCCGCTACACTGTCAAAGGAGCTAATGTATGCCACTTTTTTCAAGTCTAATCAAAGTGTTAATGAAGCGTTGCCAGTTTCTACCGTTGTTTTCTCACGACGAGCTCCTGGAATAGAGACCAGGGCCACGTGTGGGGATTTCGACAATTCCTCGTCCACCCAAGGGGAAATAACTTTAAAATCCAGAGTAAAAATTTGTGTATTACAATCAGTTGCAGCCAAATTTCTATGAATATCGGTAAAAATTTCACTGGTTATTTTAAAAAAAATGAATTTCGACGCTGCCTCATGAATTTCGAAGAAATTTGTTTACAATTCAAGCTTGGCCACGTATTTTGGAGTACTCTTTTTTGGAATTGTTTGTTCCCCTTTGCGTCGCCCGGAGCGGCTTGTCCGACAAACGCGCCACGCCAGGGGCGAAAAGAAGCTGAAAGGTCGTCTAATTTAAAGACAACAAAGGCCGGTCCAAATCCGTCGACGGGTCGTACCGGGTGAAATGG